AGCATTGTAAACTTTTTTCCTATGAATATTTAAAATAACACAAATAATGAATTTCCACTACGGTAACTAAAGTAAGAGTTAAATATTGTGAAATAAAAGCAAACATATATATTTGATCTCTGCAATATATATTGGTCTCTGCATACCTCACCCCCCCATCCTGTTCCTGGCACAGAGTCCTAAAACCCTTATACTTATAATTTCCCAAGTGATAAGAGCTGTAAGAACATCTATTTAGTCTTTGACCCCAGTTCCTGTTAGAGAGCTCTTAAATTCCTTGGAATTTCCTGGGTGGTAGCAGTGTTTTTTATTCCAATGGGGTGACTTTTGGTAGGCTCCTCAATAGCATCAGGATGAGGACTAGTCACTAGAGAGACCAAATCATCGTTAGAAACTTGGAACTTTTAGCTCCACTCCCCCATCTTTCAGAAAGGGGATTGGGCTGGAGACTGAGTTAGTAACGGATCATGCCTATGTGATGAAACCTCCATAAGAATCCCAATAATATGTGGTTCACAGAGCTTCTGAGTTGGTGCTGGGAAGGTGGTGCACCCCAACTCTATGAGGACAGAATCTTCTGCATTGGGTACCCTTCTGCACTTCACTGTGTGTATCTCTTCATTTGGCTGCTCACCCAGATCCTTTGACATTCTTTGTAATAAGCTGGTAATCTAGTAGGTAAACTGTTTTCCTGAGTTCTGTGAGCCATTGTAGCAAATTAACCAAACTGGGGTAGGGGATTGTGGGAAGCCCCAGGTTATAGTCAGTCAGTCAGGAGCACTGGTAACTGTAAGATAAATTCTAGCTGAAATAAGCAGGTGAAGAGAGGCAACAAAGGGCCAGGCAGTTTATTTGAGCGCGGTCCTGGGTGAGATTTCCCCAGTCTATAAAATGGAGGCTGGGGAATTCGCACGTAAGTAGACAGGCAGCGAATTTTTAAAGAAGGTAGGGGGAGGCAGAGCTTAGATTTACAGTGGCACGAGGATCGGCTAGCCTAAGGCACATTTTTCAGGTTGGGAGGGGGCAGCAGCTGCGGACTTTGGCACGTCATCAGTGGCCGACGTGCTCGCTCCTCCCATCAGTGCCCCCAGCCTTATAGTGACCACCTGCACTTGTGTGCAACTGGCATCTGAAGTGGAAGCTGGGGCAGTCTTATGGGTCTGAGCCCTTAACCTATGAGATCTGTGCTAACTCCAGTTAGTGTCAAAATTGAACCTTAGGACACCCAGCTGGTGCTGGCTTATTGCTTCGGGAAAGCCCACAGTTGGTTAGAATGTTTAAGTGTGATTCAGGTTAGAATTAGGGTTAGGGTTAGTGTGATAGTAAAGGAAAACAAAGTTTTTCTGAGACAAAGTCTTTTAAAAAGTTCCTTTCAGTCCGATCTTCTGGGAAGATCTTCCCCAGGCCTCATGGCAATGCAGATGTGACCTGCCTCATAGAGTCAGAAGACTGACCTCAGTGCCTACTTATAACTCTCAGCATGTATCTCAAGCAATTTATGAAACCTCTCTGAATTGCAATTTTTCCACCTGCTAGTAATGATAATAAATATAATCCAGAAATGTGAGGGATGAAATGAGCAAATGAAGGACTCTAGCACATGTCAAATTCCTACTCTGGACCAGAGTTTTCACATGAGTTATCTCATGCAGTTGTTGCCTCAGCTTGGAGGAGTAGGCATTATCATCACCACGTACTTATGAGGAAATTGAGGATCAGAGAGGAGAAACAACATAAGTTACAGAGTTAAGGGAAGGGAGGGCCTTGTCTGTCTGACTTCAAGGCTGTCTGACCCATTCATAACCACACCACCCTGATAGCAAATGTGAAAGTTTTTAGTAGGATGCTTTTCAGATGTTCCTTATATTATTTTTGTATCCTGAGTGGGTCAGCTTCATTACCCAACATGTGTCAGGGGCACAGCTCTATGAATGTATTGGGGACAGGATGGGGAAAGCTTGAGGTTAAAGTTTGATAACTCTGTGTTCTGGGGTTTCTTTTTCTGCAAAGTGGGGTAATTGCTAGTCCATATGAGGATCATATATAGAATAAATGAGATAATATATGGAGAATGATCCATGTTTTGTAAATAGATAGTCAATGGTAGATATTATCATAACAATTGTAAATAAACTACCATCCAATATGGATTCATATACTGATCATAAATTCCTATCACCTTCATTTCTAAGTACTTTATGTACATATATATACCAACTTCCCTTTTTTATCTACAGACATATTAATTAGTCTCTGTATAACAGACAACTGGAAAAGAAGGAAAGTGAAACAAGAGAATGCTAAAAACTAGCCTTTAAATCTGAATGATATGAATACAGATTTCAATTTATTACTATAAAGCCCCACCCAATGACTAGCACTATGAATCTTTTACTCAAATTTTACATTAGAAAAGAAAAAGTTATTTTCTCTTGAAAGTAATCAAAAAGAAGGAAAGCAGGATATCCTAATGGTTAAGCTCAGGTTCTGGCTTCAGACTGCCTCAAACCCCAACTCTTTCACTCATTAGCCTGTGAGGTAGGGCTGCTTACTATTTCATCTATAAAATGGAGTTAATAATAATACTTAATCATGGGATCATGTGAGAATTAAATGAGCTAATATGCTGGTAGGATGTAGCACATATGTGGTACATAGCACAATGAGTTTCCTGAAAATTAATAAAACTGAACTTCAATTGATAATTAATACAAAGTTTAGTGATTGATAAGTAACATGGAGATTTTATTTTGTTATTTAGGTTTTAACTCTGAAGATACAGTATTTGAGTATATTAAGAAATGGACTTGGTAAATTAACAAGTTGAAGTCAGTATTCAAAATGAAATCAGAATGTAAAACATGAATACTTGCAAAGACTTGCTTGGGATTCTTTTTCTCTAAAGGATGATAATAAAGAGAAAATTATAGAAAGAGAGGAGCTATAGAAAGAGAGAGATACCAGTCTTCTGGGAACAGAACAACAATCTCAGATGAAGAAGTCATTTGGTATTTTATCTTTTATGTGGGAAATAATTGAGATTTTAAGTGGGTGAATGAATATCACTCAATTTACAAATTTATAAGAAAGTAGGGTAATGGATATTGCTAAAGGTAAGTGCAAATGGATATTCACAGCAAAGTTGAAACATTAAAGACTATCTCTGAAATGTAGAGAAAGACATTTCACAAAATGTCACAAAACTCAGAGGAGAGATCCAAAGTTCCAAATAGCAGAAACAACAAAGATGTGGATCAATGTATTTTCATAAGCCTTTCACATTGTGTTTCTTGGTAATAGAGAAGTAAGAATGGTGAGCATGACTGTAGACCATAGTGTAGAAATATTGTAGGTGAGACAGAGGCTGTCGTAGTAATTATTAAGCATTTGATTTGCCTCAATCCTTAAGTCTGCCTATTAGTGTGAACTGCCATCTCTTGCAAATCCTCCAAATCCTGCATTAGTGTTTCATGAATTTATCTTAAAGAAGCCATAAACATTAGTGTTCTCCACTGTCCTCTTTCTTTACCAACAACTGCCATGGATGTTAGCACTGAACTCTAATACTACTACTATAATTTATTTCCCTTAAACTGAAAACATTCCTATAAACATAAATATTCATTAGAAAAGAGGACTTTTGCTGTCTATAAGATTTGATATTTTTAATTGATATTTGATATAAGATTTGATTTTTTAACAGAATAATTTGGGGAATGTGAAATATGAAAGGTTGGAACTACTGTTTTATAATATCATGATTTCCATAAACATGGAATATGCATTTTCATTTTCAAATTCAATGAATTTTTAATAAGCTACACATTATGTTAAATATTTACATTTATTCTTTTACAATTACATTTACTCATTTATTTGTTCAACAAATATTTATGGAGTGCTAATATGTGTGTAGCATTGTAAACCCTGTCTAAGGACCTCAGGGACCCTTTGAGAATTAATATGTGCTCATTAAAGAACTGATACAAATATGTATTTTGTTAATAGGGAGGGAAGCCCAGAGAAGTTCACTTAGTGGCTGATCTAGTGTTCCACTGTCATCTATGAAATTCAGCAGGTGGAATCCTTGCCACCTAGAGACACTGCAAGAGTCCAGGAAGACTGGATTTCAGGAGCTACAGATGACAGCTCTCTGATGATGGCATCACACAACCCTGTCGATCCAAGAAGCCCCTTAATTTGTTTCCCTAAGATTTTTCACTTTAAAATGGGAGTTAATGATACCTGTTATGATGATCTCAAAAGGGTGTTCTGACTGTTAAATGTAAAAGAGTTTTGAAAATGTCATGAATCTAAGCAGTGGTGAAGTATTATTGTCATCACGGGTGTTTTTCCTCTCCCTTGTGTGCATTTTCCTCTCCTTTCCACCCCCATTTGGAAGGAAAAACTTGAAGTAATACATAGTTTTCTTTTTCTGTAATACTTAATAGGGAAGCTTTTAGAGCAGACATGATTTCCCCAATCTGGACCTACTATTTTCTTTCTCTGCCAAGGAGTTCTGTGATTTCTATGATGTAGGCAAGTGTCTCTGCAGCGATTGTCCTCCCAACCTGCATTACTTCCCAGGGACTGACGACAATGTGTAAAGAAAAGCAGCTGAAGGGAAAGTGCTGTAGAAGCTAAATTTAGTTAGATTGCTGAAAGGAGGCTTTTATTAAGACAAGTGAACACCTCTCCCACTCCCCCCCGAATCAGAATCACAAAGTGATACAATTTCTCATGAATTTCTTCTAAAACCCCAACTCTTGAACTTGGCAACATGAAGTAATGCTAACACTGATTTTTTAACCCAGCAATACTGATTTCAATCACAGAGATTAATTAATCCAGCTACTATAATAATTCCAGAAATTTCACAAGATCTATTGCAATTGAATCTGTTGAGGACACCTCACAGGCAGATCTCTGACATGCCGGGGATTTAGGCACTGAGAGAGAGTAGAGCAAACAAGCCATTTATGAAACAAAACCAAACTTACCGATACGTCATCCTCAGGAGGAAGAATGTAATCTTGGAGCTCTGCACCCACTGAATGCGACTTACTCCTCAACTATGTGACATCTCTACATATATTAGAAGTCTACGGCTGGTAGAAATAAGGAAACAAATTATAAGTAGTTGAAATGAAACTTGTTCGACAAGTCTGAACAGAGAAGCCTCAACCCCATAGAATAGCTTGGAAAAAACAGCCCAGAGATAGTGTAGTCCTAACAAGAAAACAATATTTTTTTGGTATTGACTAATTGTATTAAAGGAGAAGAAACTGGTTGTGAGGATTTGAATGAGAAATATGTTAGGAATGCACTAGGATTAAGAGTTTAAAGATTATACATATATTTTAAAGAAACTTTCACAAAAATTCACAATAAAATCAGATATTCTTAAAAACTAGATTTATGATTTCACTCCAGAAATACTCCTTAAATTTTTGTTGAACAACAGCTGTCTCCATGTTTGATAGGAAGTGGTGAATTTATTAACATATAATGATTTTTCTTTAAAAAGTACCTACTTATGAGACTACATACAAATAAATTCATATCAAAACAGGTTTTTCCCCAAATGACTTAATCTAATAAATACATAGTACAATTTATTTTTATGTAGTATGTACATTACACATATATTATCTCTCTCCATATGTATACATGTATAGAGATAGATATGTATGGAGAGATTTTACATATATGTGTGTATATATATATATATATATATATAGAAAGAGAGAGAGAGAGACAGACTTGAGACATTTATTAGAATGAAGAAAACAAGAAGATCAGGAAAACAAGTAATAATTTCAGTAATTTTTCAATTTTCATGAATACCTGCTCTTTATGAATACTGAAACATTAGAAATGAGACTGAAGCTCTGTTTCAGTCAGATATGTTTGACCATATCTTACTGTGGCTCCTTTTTCTTCAGAAGCAGCTAGTGTTTTTAGGGTCCATCTTGTCATAGAAGACACTAAATATTTACACACACACACACACAGACACACTTATACATACATATCCAAATAAATCATATATGAATATTAAACAGTATCATGTTGTGCATAACCTTGTGTAATTTGTTTTTTCTTCAGTTAATATTCTGAGTATCTTTCCATTTTGGGAGACACAGATCTACTTTATTCTTTTTGAAAAGCTTTATGAAGTATGAATATACTTAGTGTTTAGCCTTGATTATATTCTTACATTCAGATGGTATCCAGTTTAAAGGGGAACACTACTTTAAAGAAGAATTTTTGGCAGTCTTTGCTTCTAACACTTAAGGAAAGCACATTTGAAGTGATCTCAGACAGTACCACACAGTGCTTTACATGCATAGACCTAAAGTCAGAGTGCCAGCGTTCACATCTTAGCAGTTTCCATATCTGTAAAATACGGTAATGCTAGCGACTACCTGGTAGGTTTTTCAAGATGTAAATGTGTTAATATATGTAAAATGCTTAGAATAGTATCTTATGCAATAGCAGCACTATAGGAATACTAACTGTATTAGGACTTTAGTTTATTTGTATATATTTTCTTACTATTTAACAAACATCTTGTGAAGCTCATTCTATTGAACTATGCAACGAGCACACATAGTTGCATTCTTGCTTTCCCTTCCCTTCCCTTCCCTTCCTCCCCCTTCCTCCTTTTTCATCCCTTTTTCCTGATGCAGTGCTTCACGGAATAGTGAAAAGGGGCATGGACTTAGGATGGAATTCTGACTCCCTGGTAGTTATGTGAACTTGGACAGGCTACTTAAAGCCTTTGAACACAAGTTTCCTCTTATATAGAATGAACTGATGTCATTTATGTGCAGGACTTTCGTGAGAAAATAATGACATAGTGACTGCCTAGCACACTGTCTAGTAATAAATGGCAGTTGCCTATGTGGGTGGCAGAGGCCTGACAGACAGAGCCCTGACTTGGGAGAAAATACATCTGTCTGTAAATCCTGGCCTCCCCACATGACTGCTGCTTGGCCCTTCTGCATCTTAGCTTCCTCATCTGTACACTGAATTAATAATAGCTTTCCAGATTGTTTTAGGAATTAAATGAAACAGTACATGTAAAATGCAACCTATAGTATCTGGTATATACAAGAAATGAATCATAAACTGAATTAAGATAAAATGGTGACTGCCCTGAATGGCAGTGTGACAGAACATGCCAAGAAGTTTGCTCAGAAGTCCTCTGTTGGCCCTGATATCATCTGGTTTCTTAGCTTTCCAGGTCTTTGTGGGAGGATAGTGGACTAAATGGCAGAGTACGAAGGCAAATTCCAGAATTAATAGTGGAAGATTACAAGCTATTGGCTAACAAAAGGCAGATTGGCATAGCAAACAAGAAACACACAACTTTGAAACAAATAAAACTACAACTTTGTATGTCCCTCGCTACAGTTTTGAGTAAGTTATATAACTTTCTGAGTGTAATTTTCCTTTTCTGAGAATGGTAGTATATGTGCAAATTTAATGGGATTACCTCAGAGGCATTATGCTGAGTGATAGAAGCCAGACACAAAAGGCTACATATTCCATGACCCCATTAATACAGGATATTCTAGAAAAGGCAAAACCTATAAGGACAAAACCAGATCAGAGTTGCCAGAGTCTGGTGGTGGCTGGGAGGCGTTCACTACAAGGGCGTTTTGGGGAAAATGTTCTGTTTGGTGATGGTGGTTACAAGGCTGTATGTTTTATCAAAAAATCATAAAACTATTCACTAAAAAGGGTAAATTTTACTGATTATAAATTTTGCTTTTGTATAAATATATAATCAAAATAGAAAAACAATTAAAAGAGATTATAGTAATTGCAAATAGTGCTTATCAAGAGCCAGACATTGCTGTCACTGATTTACGTGTACTATCTTAATACTTCACAACAGCCCTTTGAGATAGGGATTAACCTCATTTTACAGAAATGGAGACTGAGGCTCATAGATATTAAATAATTTGCCAAATCTCATTTCAGAAAGTGGTAGAGACAGCATTTTCCCCTTACATGTCTCTGACTCCAAAGGCCCTGATTTTTATCAATTAGATATACTATATGAATAGTGCTTGATATTCTTCTCAGAAGAGTTTTGTTTTTTCCCCCATAAGTAGCTGATTACTAAATTTGGGAGTAGGGACTAGCAGTCCTTGTCTACTATTCTAGTCTATCTTCTATGTTATACCACCTCAAACAGCTGCAGTGTCCCAACCTAGTTTGCCTGATGTGATGGGAACAAAGATGTTAACTATTACGATTGGCAGCAATCACATTTTTAATATGGATGAAAATTTTTTGTTTCACTTTAGGCATCTACTTGAGTAGATCTCAATAAATCACTATATAAAAAAATTGTGGAGTTGTCCTTGCTCAAATTTATATTTTTAAAGTTGGAATTTCTAGGAGAAAATACTCCTTTAAGTACTAAAAAATGTATCTGTCAATGTAATTTAATTGGCATGCTGCTGCTTTGCTATTGCCTTATGGTGGTGCTGTTATGATGAAAACTGTTGTAGCGCAGAAGATCCTATCATGAGCCAGTAGCAATACACCTTTCTTGAGTGAGACAGAAGATATTTCTCTAAATGATAGTTTTCTTCAACTGATATTTTTGTCCTTTATCTGAAGAGGAATTACAAAACTGATACAGATAACAAACAACAGTGTTCATGTTGTATATTAACAGGTGAAAAGTGTCACTTAGGTTAGGAGTCCTTGCATATAGCAGCTGAGATGGCTGTGTTATGGTTATTTCAGAGAAGCCTAATATGTTTAAACATCATGGCATCCAGTAATTCATTAAACAGATATTTGGTCAGTTCCTGTGATGTGCCACAGCATGTTTTAGGTACTTGGAGATTAGAGCAGTTAAGAAAAAACAACAATCATTAAAATCACTTCTTTACATACATCATTAATTCCTTTACTTCTCTTTCCCTTTGCACTCTCTTGATGGAAAGGTAACCTGGGATAAGTTCAAATTTCTATGATTCTTCACCTGTACCTTTGTGCAGATAATCAGGCCTATAGAAGAACACAGAATGATTGATCTAATTTTTAAATTCCTGTCCATTATCTTAAAGTGGGCTCAATGTTGTAGGCAGTCATTTTATACGTCCGTCCCTAAGCCATTTACTTCCCCACATGTCTGGGCAACTTCTCACCTCTCTTCTTTCCTCTTTACTTATTCTTCCATTTACACTCTCAGCTGATATATATAAGAAATGAATCATAAACTGAATTAAGATGAACTGGTTCCCCTTGCTTCCTAGTTCCCTGTATTAGGTTCCTGAGCCACTGTAACAAATTACCAAAACACCTGGTGGCTTAAAATACAGAAATTTATTCTTTCACAGTTCAGAAGCTCTGAAGACTGGAAGCGAGCTATCAGCAGGGCTACACTCCTTCCAAAGGCTCTAGGGGAAGCCGTCCTTGCCTCTTGTAGTTCTGGGGCCTCCAGGAGTTCCTTGGCTTTGATCTAGAGACTCTGCCTCAGTCTTGACACAGATGTCTTCTCTGTTCTCTCTGTGTTTCTTCTTTCCTTCTCTCTCTCTCTCTCTTTATTATGATATAATAAACATATCACAAAATTTACCATTTCAACCGTATTTCATGGTAAGTTCTTTGGCATTAAGTATGTTCACATTGTTTGACAACCATCACCATTATCCATATCCAGAACGATTTCATCTTCCCAAACTGAAGCTGTGTGCCCACTGCACATTAGCTCTGCATTTCCCCCTTCCCCCATCTTTGGCCATTCCACTCTGTCTCTAAGTACCTTATAGATACCTCATGTAAGTGTAATCATGAGTATGTCTTTTTGAAAGTGGTTTTTTCACTTAGCATAATGGCCTCAAGATTCATCCATGTTGTAGCACGTGTCAGAATTTCCTTCTTTTTTAAGGCAGAATAAGATTCCATTGTGTATATAAACCACATTTTGTATATCCATTCATCTGTCAATGGACCCTTGAGTTGCTTCAATCTTTTGGCTATTGAGAATAATGCTGCTGTGAACACAGGTGTGCAAATATGTTTGCCCCTCCATTCAAGTCTTTTGGGTATATAACCAGCAGTAGACTTGCTGGCTCATATGCTAATTTTATGTTTAATTTTCTGAGAAACCACCTGTTATGAA